GGTTGACGGGTGCAGAAAACTACCATGGCATATGTATACCTTTGTAACAAACCTGCACATTATGCACATGTACCCCAGAACTTAAAGTATGATAAAAAAATAAATAAAATAAAAATATTAAAAAGATTAAAAAATTTAAAAAATACAATTTACATTTACATTTAAGCTTTTACACCAAAAAAATAGTAGTGTAAATGTAACAAAGTATGTTTAACATCTGTATATGGAAAACTATGAAACTCAACAGGAATCAATAAAGATCTTCATAAACTGAGATATTAATGTTTATGAATATGAAAACCTGGTGTTTTAAAGGAACCAATTCTTCCCAACATTATCTACAGGTATAACACAATCCTAATACAATCCAAGTAAGTTATTTTGTGGATATAAACAAGTTGATTCTAAAGTCTACAGGAAAAGTCAACAGGCCCAGGACACCAACACAATATTGAAGAAAAAGAAGAAAGTTGGAGGGCTAACACTATCCAACTTCGAGACTTATTATCAAGACACAGTGATCAAGACAGCATGCTACTGTCAAGAAAACAGACCAACCGATCAATGGAAAAAAATACAGAAAGCAGAAATAGATCCACACAAATACATTCAATTGATCTTTGGCAAGGAAAAAGGCAAGTTAATGGAGAAATAATGGTCTTTTTAACAAATGATCTTGGAATAATTGGACTTCTATATGCAAACAAAAAATGAATGAATGTAGACACAGAACTACTTTTTACAAAATTGAAATCAAAAGGGATCATAGACCTAAACTGTAAAACGAAAAACTATACAACTTCAAGAAGACAAGATAGGAGAAAATCTAAGTGACCCTGGATTATGTGATGATTGCTTACAGACATCAAAAGCATAATCCATGCAAAAAGTTAATTCAATTTCATTAAAATTAAAAATGTTTAGTCCTCAAAAGACCATGTTAAGACAATGCAAACACAAGCTGCAGACTGGTAGAAAATATTTGCAAAACATATTTCTGACAGAGCTTGTATTCAAAATATACTAAGGAGTCTAGAAACTAATTGATAAGAAAATGATTCAGTTAATAAATCAACAAAAGATCTAAACAGACACCTTATCAAAGGGATAGAAACATACAAAAATATGCTGAACATTGCTTAAAATTAGAGGACTACAAATTAAATAAATGAGATACCACTTCACATCTATCTGAATGAATAAAATAAAATAAACTGACAATATCAAATTCTGATGAGAATATAAAACAAAAGAAACTTACATTCATTCCTGGTGGGAATACAAAATCTTATAGACACTTCAGAAGATAGTATGGCAGTTTCTTACAAGGCTAAAATACAATCCTTTCATAAATTCCAGCACTCACATTCCTAGGTATTTCCCCAGTTGGGTTGAATTATAAACATAAAAAATATTTATAAATATATACACATGTAGGTTAGTACACATACACATATTTTCATTGCTCTGTCAACTTAGAACCCTAAAAGAAATGATGCCTCTGAAGTAAGGGGTATATCTAGCATTTAGATCTTGCATTTCAATATCATTCTCCAACAAAAGGAGCCAGAGCTTCTTGGAGGTATGGATGATTCTAGAACTGGAGCAAGAAATGTACAAAATGATCCCTCAGTATCTTACAGTGCCAGAAAGAAAAGAAGAGCTAAACTAATAATAATAATAATCATTATCACAACCGTAATAATAGCGGTATGTAAAATGACACCCAAAATAAAAAAATAAATATTTGTGAGTCCATACTGATGTAAAAAAATGATTAAATGACATAATGGTAGAGAAGAGATAAATCTCACATGTAGAAAATTCCAAATAAATTATGTAGATACTCCAGCTCTAGTAACGTAACTCCCTATTCCTTAAGTGTGGCTTGCACAGAGCTCCTCCCCTCCAAAGGGTATGGTGTAGAAAAGGGACAGAGAGCACCTTTACTGTGGAGAAACTTGCAAAACACTACTTCAGCCAATGACCAAGGTCAATGCCAACATTCTTAACTACAAAGAAAGCATGTAACTGTTATGAGGTGACAAAGATGATATTTTACTTCTGTGGTCTTCCTCATAAAACTCCAAAACTCATTTGACTGAGACAAACATCAGACAAATTCCAGTAGAGAGACATCCTGTAATGTATCTAAAGAGTACTCCTCAAAACTCTGAAGGTCATCAAAAACAAGACATTCTGAGAAGCTGTCACAGTCAAAAGGAGCCTAAGAAGACATGACAAGTAATTATGATGTGTTATCCTTGATTGTATCTTATAACAGAAAAAGCACACTTGGTAAAAGCTAATGAAGTTTAAATAAACTCTGGACTTTAATAATAACGTATCATTGGTTCATTATTTCAACAAATACACCATACTAATGTAAGGTGTTAATAAGACAGGAGACTGTGTATATGGATGGAATACATGGGAACTCTGTACTATCTACTTAATTTTTCCATAAATATAAAACTTTTTTTTTTTAAATAAAGTGAATGTATGAATTACAATAGTAAATCACGGCCAAACTTCAGAATATTTGGCAATCATTTTCTAAAATTTATTTAAGGATTTTTTTTTTTTTTTTTTTTTTTTTTTTTTGGAGACAGAGTCTTGCTCTTTGCCCAGGCTGGAGTACAGTGGCCCAGTCTTGGCTCACTGCAACCTCCTCCTCCCAGGTTCGAGCAATTGTCCTGCCTTGACTTCCCGAGCAGCTTAGACCACAGGCATGTACTTCCACGCCTGGGTAATCTTTGTGTTTTTAGTAGAGATGGGTTTTCACCATGTTGGCCAGGCAGGTATTGAACTCCTGACCTCAGGTGATCCACCCACTTTGGCCTCCCAAAGTGCTGGGAAAACAGGCTTGAGCCACTGTGCCAGCCTTGGTAGTCATTTCTTTTCAAAGTATATTACTTGGCAGAAGACACACTCATACTATAATTCTAAGTGAAAAAAGAAGCACAATGTTTTAAAAGTACAGATGCTCCTAGATTTATGATAGTGTTATATCCTTAAACCTATTGTAAGTTGAAACTATCATTAAGTAAAAAATGGATTTAATTCAGGTAACCCGCTGAACATCATAACTTAGCCTTGCCTCCCTTAAATGTGCTCAGAACACAGGTTGTTAGCCCACCATGGGGCAAAATCATCTGGCAACACAATATTCTGTAGAGTATAGTTGTTTACCCTCTTGATCACATAGCTGATTGGGAGCTATGGCTCCCTGCTGCTACCCAGCAATGAAAGTATCCTACTGCATACAGGAAAAGATTAAAATTCAGAATTTGAAGTATGGTTTTACTGAATGTGTATTGCTTTTGCACCATCTTAAAATTGAAAATCCTAGTGTATCCATTGTAAGTTGGGAACCGTTTGCATAAAGCTAACCATAAAAAATTAGCAGAATATATAAAAATAAAAATTAAAAAACAGATTCTAAGGTTAAGAATCCTGTTAACCTCATATTAACATTACAACGAAGAAAATAAAAATTACCTGCAGCTAGGATTTCATGCAAAAAATTACAATGCAATCAAGTCTATGAAAAGATAAAAATATCAAAAAAATTCAGATAAGGTATCCCATTTTCCCCATCTCTAACTTTCTCTTTCAAAGAAGAAACTATTTTTTAAAGTTTAGCATATTTCACAAGTATTCTGAACTCAGTTTCTGAAGCAATATAAAAAGAAATTAATTTAGCATTATTGCTATTTCACACAGGAATAGCTATGACTTCAGATGATTTTTATTTCCTTCCTTATAATGTTTTATGTTTTTAAAATAATTATTATAAAACTGTATTATTTTTAATATTAGAAAAAATCCGTTTAAAAAAATAAGTTTGTCTGGATTCCCCTCAACTCTCCATTTTTATCTCCATGAGAATGGGAGAACATGTAACAAAATATCCAAAGTCTTTGGGTGACAAGAGTATCTCTAAAATTCTTTCCAATTCTCAGATCACGAGAATTGCATAAATTTTAACCCAAATCCAGGTCCTAGCTATGCATTTGGTAGGGACCGGAAATATTTAATTGTCACATGACTGTCAAATATATAGGTTAACATACATTTTGCATCCGGAATCCTCATAATTTACCAGTGTCCAAGCAGACTAGAAATGAGCCCAACTTATACACAGTACACATGCAGTGTATTTTTGCTATACATATGTGTGCACAACATTGTTTGCTTGTTTGAAATTTCCATCTGATTGAAACAGGAGTATGTTCTTGTGTGCAATATGGCACCCACGCTTAGGATGGGTAGAGGGTTAAATAGCAGTTAGTAAGCATGTGTAACCTAAAGGATGATTGTCAATTATGCCTAAGTTTGTACAATTTGCATCAGTTATTTTATTGGTTTATTTGCTTTAATTTTAAGATTAGTCCATGTGCATATCACCTGAAGGCTCCTATCAGTAACTATTAAAGAGATTTACAGAATGAAATCTTAAAAGAAAGACTTTCTGGAAGTTGAAAAAATAGAAAGTTAAACATACCTAAAAGTTAAAGAATCACTAATCTGTAAATATATAATAATCCTACCAATAATAATTTGGGACTGTACAAGAAACAAACCTAGTTATCAAGGTAGGATTAGATGTATTAATGTACAAAGGTTACAAAATGCAGTGAAATTCTACATTGATCCTCAAGGAAAAAATAAATAAAGAGAAACAAACTAGACTGCAGATATTTGGTTTGGTGATTATTCCTGGCTCTGTTGCCACACTCAATTCCTGAATCTTTTTCACTCAACTACTTTACTCATATGTGAAAATAACATCACAACATAAGTAAATGATTTAAAAAATTGAGTTAGACAGGCTTAAGTGTTTCTGAAAAATTATACTATCTATCTTCATAGCAGTAGGTTTCCATTTTGCCCAACCCAACTTTAAAAATGTAAATGAAAAAACGAATCAAGAAGTTAAAATCAAAGTATGAAAATCAGGACACAGCACCAACTTTGTTTTCTTTTCCAGCCTTTACCTTCCGGCTCGTTTTTGATGAGCTCTTCCATTTTCCTCTGCTTCAAGGTGTCAACAACATCAGCTAAACTGCCTTTGCGCCGTTCAGGAGTTCCCAGGGCTGTACTAGACAAGGACTCGCCACTCTGTCGCCCACCTTCTTCTGCCTTCTGAGGTGAGGTAGATGAGTTGTGTGGGGCAAATGAAGACATTACTTTATTGCCATCAACTTCCTGAAAGAGAAAGGAAAAGGACAAATGATTGCTTAAAATTCAGTAACTTAAAAAAAATGGTTATTATGGCTTATTCAGCTGAAAGATTAAAAAGTGAAATTTCACTCTGCAAGAACCAAAGAAACCAAGAAGTTTCAAAAAAGAATAAATTAACTTTGCATGCTAGTTCTAGAGTAAGTCAAAGATCTATTCAAAGGAGAAATCAAACTATGGAGATTCTCTTTTTTAAACTGAGTATAAATGAAAATAAAGTCTTATACAAAGCCTTCATTACGAGATTTGTTTTCTTGCTTTGGTTTGACAGTCTCAGATTTTCCTATAGATAGTAAAAGTAGTGATCATTTGTGTTAAACTTCTTCATGGCTTTTTAATATTTAAACAAATAACATTACACAAAATTTATTTTCATTTTCAGTAGCTGTCTCTTCTTGATAATACTCTAAAGTTTTAGTTTTCTACCTGCCTCTCATACTTTTAAGAAAGTATCCATCACACAGGTTATCTGGCATCAGACAAGAAATATTCCAAGTTTATTTTTTCCTAAGCTGAAGAAATTTTCAATTTTATTTGTTACATAAAGCACAGTTTCTGTCAATACTCTTTGCTATTTTGTATTTTAATCCTCATTTACTCAATAAAATAAAGTTTGCTGTGGTTTTTCTTCCTCATAATCATGTGGGCATGTCAATGAATATAATTTATTGTATAATTCTAAAATATAAATATCATTTTATATTATTTTGTCATCATTTTCCCACAATTTCTAGCACAACTCTGGTAATTTGTATATTTGGGGAATATTTTGTACAAAAGATACTAAGTTAATTTTTTAGAAATTATTAGGAGAATGAAATGATAAAGAAAAATTAATTTTCCTGCTTAAAGATTTTCCTTGTATAGTGTCTCACTTTCATAATCCTTTACTTCTCAGAAAACAGATATCTTAAACATAAAGCTGTATCTTAAGATCTTTGAGTCTCACCTTAAAAATATTTAATTCTACATTAAAAGTTTGCATTAAAATATATTTGAGTGTGTGCCTATTTAATATTCAGAATATTAGATTACACCTGTTTGCAAATTTCTTCTCTCCCAATTTAAGACATATTAATACAATCAGTTGACTTCCAAAAAATAACAAATCACACTGATTGATATTCAACGTTTTTAAGGTTAATGCTAATATTTTTGACTAGCTTAAAAATATGCTAACATACTTGGTTTAAAAACCATCAGTGTAATTTTAAAAAATAGATTAAAAATAGAGATGTCAACACAAACATAATCTGTTAATATGGTTTTTTTTTTGTTAACAGATATTAGTGACTACAGGGACAACAGGCTATGTTACAAGCATTAGTTTGTTGCATGTGGTTAAAGCATGTGGAGGAAGCAAAAAAAAAAAATATGTGCACAACAGAATCTTCCAAATTATAATTCTAAATCTTAAATGGCTTTTATTTCTTAAAAACGTTACACATTATGCCTCTGACTAGCACTATGCCTTGAGTGAATATTTTACGGACAGTGTAGCTTATACCACACCTGGATTTAGAAATCAATGTATAAAATGTAACAATTATAAGCTCCTGCAGGTAAAGTGAAGGTATATTCTGGAATTATTAAAACCCACATATATACACAAACACATAAACACACACATACACACATACTCCTAAAAAGAGCAATCATGATTCATTCAGTAAATTAATAGGAATGTTTTTATGAACGGCCCATAACACACTTTAGCTTAGTTTCATGTGCAAACCAGAATATTATGAAATACCTGTATTCATTTTCCATACAATATCTTTCTTCTCATTTCTTTCCAGGAACAAAAGTAGAAACATCTCAATGTTAGCTGCACTTTGAATATTTCTCTATCTGTACTCTACTTTCACATTGTATGATGACAAACTTTAGAAACAGTAATTGGGCAGCTGACCATTAACTGCCATAATTGAAAATTACAATATAATAAAGTATACTGAAATATCAAAAAATCAGAAAATATCCAGATACGATATCCCATTTATTCATCACTAACTTTCTTTTCTTTTCTTTTTGAGACAGTCTTGCTCTGTCAACCAGGCAGGAGTGCAATGGTGCCATCTCAGCTCACTGCAACCTCTGCCTCCTGAGTTCAAGAGATTCTCTTGCCTCAGCCTCCTGAGTAGCTGGGATTACAGGCACATGCCACCACGCCCAGCTAACTTTTGTATTTTTAACAGAAATGGGGTTTTCACCATATTGGTGAGCCTGGTCTCAAGCTCCTGACCTTGTGATCTGCCCTTCTCAGCCTCCCAAAATGCTGAGATTACAGGAGAGAGCCAACACGGCTGGCTGAGTCTCTAACTTTCTATGCCTTTCACAGAGAAAGAAAATATGTTTTAAAGTTTAGTATATTTCAAAATAATTCTAAGCTCAGGAGCTGCAGCAATATGAAAATAAATTGATTAAACATTATTTCTATTTCACACAGGAATGTTTATCTTATCACTATTTCACCTGCCTGATTACATTTCAGCCTCTGGCACGGTTAATCTCCTTAACAGTTTTATGTAGTTAACAGCTGTTTCAGTGTGGGACTCCATTGTTCATTCGCATGGTGAATAGCCTGTTAAGGAGGGCTGGCACAGTCTTCAGTCAAGGAAATCCTAAATTTTTCAGAGTTTCTTCCCTGGGATTGCATTTGTTATAGATGAAGTAATGATTCCATGTTTCACCTCATTTTGCTGGCAGGTGAAATCAAGAGAACCAGCTAACATAGGCATAAGTGGTCCAACCAGAAACATGCATTTAATCAAGTTTTGTGAATTCTAAGAACATACCAGTACTTTGCAAACAAGTTTGCAGAACTGTGATATATGACCTCTAAAGTCTAATCATAAAAAAGGTTTCTGAACTTTCAGAATAAAGTTAATCATCTTCTTTTTTATTTTTGAACAAGCTTTGCTTAATCTTACCCCTTTTGTTATCTTTGCAACCAATAGAAAAAGAGTCTGCCTAACATATCTATCTTCATTAAAAATATCTTTTTAAAACTGAATTCTCAATTCATTTTAAAGACAGAATATTGCAATGAATGCACTGAAAGAAATATTATTTCAACCTTAATATTTAAATTTTACTTTATATGATGTGCTAAGAAGAATCTTAACACATTTAAAAAAGAAGAGATACATGAAATAACCAGATGCATGTGTTTCTTTCATTATTCAAATGATATTTCATCCTTGACTTCTGGCCTCAAGAAACATATTATCATGCTTACTTCTTGGTCTTATAAACTGAAATTAAGTTCATACAGAGTAGTTAGAAACATTACATTTGATATCCAATCTATTAGTAATTGATAAGAATGATAGCAAATATTTATTAAATACTTTGTAATAGGCACGGCTTAAAGTGCTTTACATGTATTAACTTAATCCTCATGGAAAGCCTATCTATAATTTCCATTTCATAGCTGGATAAACTGAGGCACAGAGGCTAAAGCACAGTATATGCTCAAGGTCACATGACTACCAAAAGGGAGAGTGAAAAATCAGCCCCAACCTATTGGGCTCCAGAGCCCTCATTCTTAACTATAGTGATCTTATAACTCTTTCATCTATTTGTTTCTATCAATGTTATGAGTGAATAAGACATTTGTCTTCTTAATAAGTATGAAAATGAGAGGTTTCCACTGTACTATGTTCAACTCCTAAATAAAGCAAATGAGATACAGGCATTCAAATTAATTAAATCAACCACATTCTTGACTCTGCCTATCCAAATACCTACTTGCTTGTGTCATATTTCTAAAAATAAGTTTAAATATTAAATAATTATTTAAACCAAATATATTGATTTATAATTCTACATGGCTAATCAGAGTAATGGTACTCAGTAGTTTAAGGTTTTGTAACTATCTTTATAAAATTTGTGAGCATCTCTATATCCTTTCTAGTAAAATTAAGTTTTGAACTTAGAAAAAAACTAGTACAGAAGATCTGGACTGTCGTCAATTAGATTCTCCTTAATGCATGCTCAGTAATTTCAGTATTGCACAGAGGCAGAATAAAATGAAATACAGATACACAGAGAAGGTACTTTGGTGCTCAACAAGTTTTAACATAGTCATGTTCTTCTTCCAGCAATGGGTTGTGATTTATAAAATATCACCAGGATGGCCAGGCCTGGTGGCTCACACCTGTAATCTCAGCACTTTGGGAGGCTGAGGCCAGTAGATACAAGGTCAAGAGATCGAGACCATCCTGGCCAATACGGTGAAACCCCGTCTCCACTAAAAATACAAAAATTAGCTGGGCATGGTGGTGTGCACCTGTAGTCCCAGCTACTAGGAAGGTTGAGTCAGGAGAATCCCTTGAACCTGGATGGCAGAGGTTGTAGTGAGCCAAGATTCAAGATGGTGCCACTGCACTCCAGCCTGGGCAACAGAGTGAGACTTGGTCTTAAGAAACAAACAAACAAACAAAATCACCAGGACAAGGTAAAACAAAACTTCAAAAAAAAAAAACTACAATATTTGGTTATTCCTTAATTCTATCAAAAGAGGATAAAAATACACCTTATAACAAATGTTGAAATAAAATTTCACTACTTGTAATCTATTCTGTCTCATTAGGAGGTACCAAATTGAATTTAATTATAGAAAAAAATGCTATTATTGTCTAAAGAGCTCTTTCAATTATGTTTCAAGTTATCTTGATTAAAATAATTTTTCATAAAATGCCTGCATGAAACCCTAAACAACACTTACTCCTTTGGGACTTCTGATCCCTCGATGATAGTTATAAATGCTACTTTAAACACATATGCACATGCATAAACACACAGACACACACACACAACTCATGCAGTTCCACACACAATTTCACATAGGTTTACCGAGTTCATTTTCTATGTTCATAGTTCCAGTTATGAACCTCTTCCAGGAAATTCACTATGAACTCTTATGGACTATGGATTTCAGGTAAAGGAAACTCTGACCTAAA